AGGAAATAACCATTAAATCAATCTCATCAATATCAGATCTTAGTTCTCGCTACCGCCAAACAAAGATCTGAGGACATCCCATTAGGGGTGACGTCAGAACAACCTTTCATCCGACCAATCAGAGTGTCGCTTACCAGATCATGAAAGTGACATTCGGAATATGAATTCTGATAATACAAACTCGAAAACTTTAACATTGGGTATTCCGAACGATAGTTACGGATTTAACGACTGAATCCATACAATATAGACCATCTATTAGCCATTCCAGAATGTTCTTTTGTTCAGGTTTCAAATTTGTAATCGAGAATTTGTAAAAATATGTTTCGAAGCCTAGTGGCCAATTTGAACTTAGTGCCATAAAGCACAAGAAAGCTGCCTTCTGATTGGCTAATGTCGACTTCTTGTCAGTCCGTCTATCGGTCGGTCAAAGCTCGCGCAAGGTCGGTCTGACGTGATCCGTAATGGGATGTCCTCAGATCTTTGTTTAGCGGCAGCGAGAACTAAGATCTGATTTTAATGAGATTGCCATTAAATCAACATTTCAATTTCTTAATTTTATTTAATTTTGCTGCCTTCACCTTGGCCCTTTCTGAATAACTGGATAAATCCAAAGCCTTTGTAACCTTTCAAGGGTGAGAGTGTTTTGCTTGATGCTGCTTTCAATACTGTTTCATTTCTATATCACAGTGTGTCAGTTTATTGTTTGACTGAAGCAAAAAGAGGTACAGGTCTTCCATGTTCACTACTGTGCTTGGCTTTGAAATTTTAATCACAGGATTCTGACACACATAAGGGACACAACTCTGCGAATTAATTGTGGTACATAAGATGAATGGGCCATCTACACCCTACTATTATTTATCTGACGCAAAACAGCCTGACAGAATGTTGGAGAGAATGGAAAAACACAACCATGATTGATACAAGCTCAGCATCTCACAAATATTCTCCTGTTACACAAAAACAGTATCTCAATGTTTTGTCAATACTTCATTCACAATCCAGCATTAAATGTTTTTCTGTTGCTGCGTTTCATGTTTGCAATCCTGAATGACCGGACGACCTTGAAGCAGGATGCAATCACTGCCTCTGACATGAAACACGCAACTACTAGAGGGACAGCGATAAACACAATGGAGTGCTTCGTGGCCTTGGCCTCCAAGGTCGGAGAGTTAGGCCATGTGTGTGCATGTCATCTCTGCTGCTAAAATAGAGGTTTTGTATCCATATTCACCCTTTTGAACATAAATGTTCTCCCACTCTGAAAGGCAATTAACAAATTCCATATTTCATAAAAAACTGCACTGGATCTTATTGTAATGATATTCAAAGAAGGGAAGTAACTCTATTGTCTTTTCCCCTTAAGCCATAAGCTTCGATGTAAATGGGGATTCTTTTGAGCTTTCAGCTTGGCAATGATGGTGAGCGTTCCTTTGCCCCTTCTACTTCTACTTCTGATTCCCACAAAGCATGCACATCAGTTTTGATGTTTTTACCTCAACAAACATACAAATATATGATTATGATTATTTAATATAATAATTATTTAAATAAATACATTTTCAACAATAACTTGACAAACTGCTCACTGATCGAATCATCATAAACACAAAAAACTGTAGACAATACAATATCAGTACCATCGTTCAGCACAATAACACAACACATGCATTGCCAACTCTATATCAGCCAATCATGAAACAACAGTCCGCTTCTTTTCTAGGTTTTGCCAATCAAATGCCTTCTAATCACTTGCAATGTATCTATTGGTTCTTTAGTAATTTATTTCTGCGGAAGACAAACACGTTTTTATTGCAAATGTAAGGATTGTGCATGCGCAGGTGATGTGCTTCATTCAGATTCGTTTATGGACATATAGCAGGGCGTGGAGTCATCCCACAGAAGACATCCTTACCTTGTCAGCTTGCTGACAGGGTTAACCTCTTTGGTCATGTGGACAAAGTTCGGGCTCGGATCAGAAGGTCCGTGGTTCGAATCCCATCACGGGACTCGGAAATTTTATGGCCGCTACATTGGCGCCCAACGTGGGGCTGAGCACGTTCATATTAAATTTGAGCAAAATAAGCCTCAGTACCCTACTATGCGGCCCGCAGGCATGGTCACAGGCATGGTCACCTTAAAGACGGCGATATACGGTATTACCTAAGCTTTATCAAGCAGAATCATACAAGCCATACATAAAATTTCTTTTACAATCTGAAGAATCTTAATCAAGCAAGTCAAGGGTTCTATTTTTTTATTTATCGATTGTATTAGCTAACATGTCAACAAGGTTTAGTTTAAGTTAACTCACTAAAATAAACTCATGAACTTTTCCAAGAAAAATACTTTAAAAAGTTGATAACAAACATATTTTTAATGGAACACAGCAATTTTTTAATTCAGTTTTTTTTCTGCTCTTGCAAGAAGAAGAATGGGATTGTCCAATAAACAAGGAAATAAATGGATATGGTTCTGAAATGGTTTTTGATTTGCATATCATTTCACAGAAGAATTATGTTGGAAATATATCAGGTACAGAAAAAAATATCCAACCAATTCGGAAGTCATATTGAGAGATGAACCGACCAGTAGGATTATTGTTTCTTGCACAGTTTAACTGAAGTTTCATGGAGAACGTTACATCCTCAAAGTGATATTAAATCTCGTCAATCTGTTTGATGTATGGCATGGTGAATCTAGACAGATCCCACTGCTTTCTCTTTGAATCCAACAACGCTAATCCTTTTACTGACTGTGAGCTGTGAATTATTCAACATTTAATGTTTTCGAAGCAGAAAACCTCTTCAGTCATCTTATTCCAAATCAAGTTTTGCTCAAATTATTTTGACCCTTTCCCAATAAGCAAAACACAAACATCATTTGAACCAGTCATACAAAAAATGTGTTTTTATTCAATATCTATCCATCCATTTATTCATGGATGGCAGCGTGAATATCTTGATTTTATAAATATTGTTCACAGATAAAAATATTGCTGTATATAGTACTGGTAAATGAAATATACTCACCGACAAAAGAAATGCAAATACCATATAGGTCGGTTAACATATGAAGACTTTATTCAGCGATATTAGATTGGTTTGATACACGAACGAACATACTGGTATGTTGTGTGAACCGACGCTCAAGAACGCATCACATGTGACGTCATAGATCCATGACTCGAGAGGCACCATTGGAGTCGTGCAGGATTAGCGTGTAAAGTTTGGAAATCACATGCAGCAGATCGTGACAAAAAAAAAGACACTATGTGGTAACACTTGAGTGGTTGTTATTTTTTTGTCATTGAGGGGTGCACACTGGAAACATCTCTTCTTAACGTACATACTTCTCTATATGTTTCTATGGTTCACGTGGGGGCACGGGTGGCCCAGTCGTCTAAGGCGCCGCGATTCGCTGTGCAGAGTTGCGTCCCTTGGGTACGCCAGAAACCTATGATTGTGGGTTCGAATCCCGGTTCGCCCCGATTATGTTTCTAGGTTTGTCAGCACCATACCCGTGCTCTTGGGTTTCACCAAAGTGGTAAACGTCAGAGACCTACATCACTTCGGGCTGACACGCCGTGATATAACTGGAATACTGTTAAAAAAGCGGCGTTAAACCCAACTCACTCACTCACTCACTCACTCACTATGGTTCACGTTTCTTTTGCGGTGAGTATATCTACTTATGCCACTGTCAGCAATATTCCAGTTTTATGAAGACAGCTTTTAAAAAATACCATGTCAGACCAAGGCAAATCCGGTGGTCGATAGTATGAGCAATGATTGATGGCACTGGGGTAAGCAAGGTGAGAGCCTCCTATATTATGATCCTAATTCTAACTGATCCTGTTTTCACCAGTACTTGTCAATTTGGCTTGCTAGATAAATGTTTACTAGCCAATTTTAGATTTAAGAAGCCAATATTTTTATTATACCACCACTACAAGGAGAAATTGGGTAGCAGAGAGGGAAAACTTATTTCATATTTCAACAAGGTTAAAACTACTGAATCAATTTTAAACAGGTTTCTATCCCATTATTTTTATTTAATTTTAAGAAATTGGCATTATTTCTCAAATGAACACTTGCTACTTGAGTGAGTGAGTGAGTTCGGTTTTACGTCGCTTTTAGCAATATTCCAGCAATATCATTGCGGGGGACACCAGAAATGGGCTTCACACATTGTAATCATGTCGGGAATCGAACCCGGGTCTTCAGCGTGACGAGCAAACGCTCTAACCACTAGGCTACCCGACCGCCCCCTTGCTTCTTGAGATTGGGGAGGAAGAGTTTCTATATTATAGCTCACTAGAGAAAAAATTAAGCTAGCAGTTTGGATCCTAGATTTTCACTAGCCAGAAAGATAAGAAAGTAGCACCGGGTAAGGCACTTATCTCACAGACTGGCCTATGTTTAGGCTAAGTTATGATAAACAATGACCATGAGATATCAACATAATAATGTATAGTCTTTTTAAGGAAGATGATGAAATGTACAAGCTTTAAAAATATTTATCCATAGTTTAAAAATGATGATTCCTGAATAGAATCTGTCCTCAGCAATGTCGGACAAGTCCATTTTATGAACATGTGGGTTTGGTTTTGGTATTACGTGCATATGATTCTCACAATCCTCATGTCCATTATCTGTACCTTTTCTACGAATACCGATATGATATCTCTACCACTTTCGGTTGCGATCCTTCGGCTACTGTGTTTATCTACGTACTAGAATCTATGGGGAAGAACTCACTAGACACGTCCCTCTCTAAAATAACGTCGTCCAATACACGACGTCATCAAGTTGTGAGTACTTTTTCGAATCTCCAGAAATGACGTCATGAGAGAACAATGTTTAATCGTGAAATAAACCACGCTTCGTTCTTCATTGTTCTTTGCGATTTATCACATAGCCATCTTATATAAGGTGTTTATTCCTCCCTGGGAGGAAAGTCATGGACACAATGAGTGGATCTAATACTTCACTCACCTTCATGGAATAGTTCCCACTCATCCTCTTCTTGAAGTATGCGGATCCAATACTGAAACTTGGCGTGCGTTTAAAGGCTGAGGGCGGGTCCTGTGCTGCCACCTGGTGCTGGGGCCCACTCCAGGACCGACCACCGAACACCTGAAGGAGAACAGACATATACTGCTTAAACATGCTTTGTGATGTGTATCAGTCAGTTACTTTAGAAAACTATCATTTGGTTAGTCCAGACACATATATAACCAATATGCACAATGTTTTCAGGTTCCAATATGTGATGTCCCAACGTGTATAAAGCCAAGCACACAGGTCGATACATATAAAGGGGAGGTAACCACTCCATCCCATTCCCACCACCAGTGACTAAGTAAAATATTAAAATTTTTTAGACCAGTAGCTCTTGATTAGTACTATCCCACAATACTAACTTAGACTGACCAGTACTCTTCCAAATATAGGTTTGTCAATACCATACCCATGCTCCTAGGTTTCAAAAAAGGTGTTAGACGTCTGAGACCTGCATCACTTCAGGCTATCCTCCCACATAACTACTGTTCAAAGTGTTGTGACACCAAACTCACTCACTCAATGACCCGTTAATGTCTGCTCAAATACTATTCATAGCTTCACTAATACTTCAAATGGCTTTGCTTCCATTGTAAATGCTACAAAATTATTAACATTATGTGACACATTTCACAAAAATCCCAACAACAAAAATAGAAAATTTGATCTTTTCCTCGTCCTATCAAAGCTATATATCCTTAAAAAACTAATAGAGTCTAATCTTATATATATTTTGACTACGGATCAAGGCTTTTGAGAAGGAAAAATGTGACCAAGTTCTGAAAAAAACTTGTATACTGCTTTCTCAACTTTCTCACATGACAAACAACATCGGTAGGCCTGGCTCTGGTACCCACAAACCATGGTTGCTATTGAACTGACAACAACCAGTATGGAGCCACTCGTCTTAATAAAGGTCAGCTCAACCTTTTGAAGGTCACACTGATGAATAATTCAACGAACAAATTAACACCAGGAGAAGTCAAACACGAAGACATTACTTGTGTAAAAAGCAATCTGGCTTAGTATTACCCACAATCTGTAACACAATAAATATATGATGAACAAGATCAATATAATCAGATCACAATGTACAGACCGTTAATTGGCCACTTTAAATACAACTGACATTGAATTGTTTCTGTGACTAGAATGGCTTTCCCTTCCAACATCTTGCTGTATTGATTACAAGGAGTGGGTGATTCAATGATGTTTGATGTCACAGTCAGCAATATTCCTGGTATATTAGAATTAGGAGATATATCTACTGTTTTGAATTTTGAGGTAATTTGAAAGCAAGCTGTATCTACAGTTCAACTACCGCAAATTTTAAAACACTGCAGGTTCATCTCCATTCTACCATGATGACAAGAGCAGTTTGGAGCTCTCTTGGAGTGAGTGAGTGAGTTGTGTTTAATGCCGCTTTTAACAGTATTCAGTCATATCACAGCATGTCAGCTTAATGGGGGAGGAAAGCCAGAAATGATGCAGGTCTGAGACGTTTACCACTTCGGTGACACCCACGAGCACGGGTATGGTGCTGACAAACCTAGAAACATAATCAGGGCAAACTGGGATTTGAACCCACAATCATTGATTTCTGGCAGGCCCAAGGGACAAAACTCTGCACAGCGAATTGCAGCGCCTTAGACGACAGGGACAGCTCTCTTGGAACACATACTTACACATTGGTAACAGTGTCAAAAAAGGGGTCTATTGCATGACCCCAGAGGACCCATTGAATGAACCCAGAGGATCTATTGCATGAACCCAGAGGATCTATTGCATGAACCCAGAGGATCTATTGCATGAACCCAGAGGATCTATTGCATGACCCCAGAGGACCCATTGAATGAACCCAGAGGATCTATTGCATGAACCCAGAGGATCTATTGCATGGACCCAGAGGATCTATTGTATGTACCCAGAGGATCTATTGCATGACCCCAGAGGATCTATTGTATGAACCAAGGGGATCTATTGCATGACCCCAGAGGACCCATTGAATGACCCCAGAGGACTATTGCATGAACCCAGAGCATCTATTGCATGGACCCAGAGGATCTATTGTATGAACCCAGAGGATCTATTGCATGGACCCAGAGGATCTATTGTATGAACCCAGAGGATCTATTGTATGAACCCAGAGGATCTTTTGCATGAACCCAGAGGATCTATTGCATGAACCCAGAGGATCTATTGCATGAACCCAGAGGATCTACTACATGAACCCAGAGGATCTATTGCATGAACCCAGATTTCATTGCATATTTGTTCATATTTAACATGATGATTTACTGGTGGACATGAGCCTGGTGGCACGGCCACATTTTGGCAACAGAAACACCTTGAAGTATGACTGAACACGAGTCGGCATTGTATAACGGAATTGTATAAGGGCATTGTATAACGGTATTGTATAATGGCATTGTATACTGGTGGTGATGATAGGGACTGCTCATATTTGTGACAGGTGCTTGCGTGGCTCTGACACAGTGGTTAGTGTGTGTTTGACTATATATTGTGTGAAATATTCCATTATACTTGATAAGCTGTTGTTCTGACATCGAAACACATATGTTGGTGGGTTCTTGGCAGAAATTGTTATATAATTAAATTTCAGTTGTGTTGTGATTAGCTGAATTGGTCCCAATGTTTGCCAAAAATTAAGTTCTTTTGTTATTACGGAATGTCGAGGAATCCCAATGTTACGGTCGAGGGAATTCCCTTCCAGCTCACATGTATCGTCATGCAATATTGATTGTCCAAACTATACTATGAGACCGAGAATTCTAAGGCCGAGAAGGAATGAAACAGCAAACGTGCAGGCTCGCTGGCCTGTATTTTTCATGTCTTCGGGTTTCATTTCTGCCCTGCATTTTTCCAACTGAATCTTCCCGTTCTCAGGGAACTAATGTTTGAATCTAGTGGTTACTGACCATGTCATTTCAAACAGCCATATTTGTTCTGGTTCCTTACAGTCTGACTGTTGCAGTCCTTTTCGACTGTTGCTACGCAGATTCATACAGTTTGCACACTGGATTTTCGATTCAAACCTCAATGACCTGGAAAAAATCCACAGTCAATCCCTAAATGTACGTTGCGTCGGCTGTTTGAAACCAAATTTTACTGAAAGCAGCTTAAACCCACTAAATACTAAATAACATATTGACTCACCCAGAACCACACACCCTCCCACTCACCCTCCCACTCACCCTCCCACTCACCCACAGTTTGAATCAGGAGAATGATACATCGTACCACTCTCACAGTTTCAGTCACACTTCCTTGTCTCTAGACTCAACATGTTTCATTCATGGCATTACTATGCCTGGTCTACAATACACATCACATCTTGTTGAAACTGATATTGCATATTTATTGGAAATTATGTTACAAAACCCCTATGTCAACATGGACATTTACGGTCATATTGGTGATTCATTACGTCAAAGAGAGGCTGCATGATTTAATGGTGACATCTTTAATGTACTGCTCCCACGGGACTGAGTCAGAATTGCCTGCACACTGGTGGTCAGGCTCAGTGACATGTCATCATACCCGATAGTGTGGGATGGATCAACCGCTCTTGGAGTGAGTGAGTGAGTGAGTGAGTGAGTGAGTGAGTGAGTGAGTTTTCTACCCTTTTTTTAGCAATATGGACTTTTACCTGCTCTGTGAGTGAGTGAGTGAGTAAGTTGTCTCCCCCTTTTTTTTAGCAATATGGACATTTACCCGCTCATGGAGTGAGTGAGTGAGTGAGTGAGTTGTCTCCCCTTTTTTTTAGCAGTATGGACTTTTGCCCAAGTTAGGAATCAACCCATTTTAATGAGCATCATTAGTGAACACTTCAACCACTAGGCTACCCCATACCTCAAAGAAAATGAAATCTTGGAAATCTAGAAGATCGCATCCAGTTTTCTATATTTTCCTCATAAAATACCTTGCAAAAGAAACAATACACTTGAAAATTGGATTTGACCAAGACAATACAAATGTTATCAAAACATCACTAAGCTGACCTGTTGTAAGATCCTCATTGATATCATGCATGTAATATCACCTATGATACCCGTCCGTATCAATGCATCACCATTTAATAGCCATTTCTTGTTTCATTTTCACCAACATTTAACATGGGTGTATACACAAATAAGACACTTAGCAGATTAAACTTGAAACAATTAGGTTGACTCTGCAAATCTGAGCATCTGCCCTGAGAGTGGAAGGTCGGAGGTTTGATACCTGGATGTGTCGTACCAAAAGACGTTAAAAGATGAAACTTGTTGAACTTGATGGAACCCTGCATAGTGTTTAGCATTGAGGAGATAAAACAAGGATTGGTTGGTTTAGCATGAGTTTCAGTTGCAATATATATATATTGCAATACCCAATACATCTAGTTTGGACTCAATATGTACTATATATATTTACATGAAGTCAGGTTACTGTTCTAACAATATCACACATATTCTCGTGAAACTTTGTTAACCCTAAAATCTGATATTATTTTATATATCATAATCACCATAATAATCATACCACAGAACCCTACACAAGTGTACATTTTTTTCAACATTTCTAAGTACTGAAAAAATTCACAAAAAAACCACCAGAACAACAGGGTGCATTAACCAATCAAAACGAAGGATAAATTACCTTTCTTGACGAGAATTACTGACCATATGCATAAGCTCCAACAAATTAAACTCCTATCCATGGTGGACGCGCAGTTAAGCTCAGCCAGACAGGTATAATTTTACCAGTCTCATTCATATTCATGTGAGCTGAACAGACAACGTGCTGCACAAACTGTGTGATGACTGGCAAACAGCCCCTGGATGCATGTCTAGCATTGGAAAACCTGCTACTACAAAGTCTGTGCATTGTTTTCTTTGCAGGGTATCACATGAACACTACATTGTACACTGAACCTCAACTAACATATAGTCCCAGAAATAAGGTTAAATAATAACTCTATAAAGGAACCCTTGAGTGTTAAGAAACTCTTAAGTCAATTTCTAGCCTCAAGTTGAAAATGGGATGTGTATAGGCTGCTGGAGCTGAGAAGGGGA